AAAAAAAAAATAGAGTTAGTACAGGCAGGGGCTACAGGGTCTCACTACACAGATCAGACTCATAGTGATCCTCCTGTTTTCAGCCTCCCAAGCCCTGGGATTATGCACCACCACGCCCAGTCTCAACCACCATCTCAACATGGCCTGGGGGCAGGGCCGGCACCGCACAACAGGGATCAAACCCAGGGCCTGCAACTGCCTAAGCAGCCACTTTAATCTGCTGAGCTATCTGGCCAGCCCTATAAAGAGAAAATTCTTGAGCATTCCCTCTAAGAAGTTCATTGATCAATCATTTCATATTTTTAAAATAAGTTCCCATTTTTAGAGTAATTTTATGTTTACATGAAAATTTTACAGCATATAGTTTCCACATATAGCCTTTGTTCTCCTATTCTTCCTTCCAGTGTCTGTCCAAGTAGCATCTTACTTTGGGATGGCCAATTGTCCCAACTGATGAACCAATATGCACACATTGTTACCAAAGTCCAGGTTATATTAAGGTTCACGCTTTGTGCTGCATATCCTATGAGTTTTGACAAATATGTAATGTCATATGACCACCATCAATCTCTAAAGTTTTGTCCTTCCCAGGATGTCTTATTAATTGCATTCATATGATTATGTAACCTTTGCAGATTGCCTACTTTCACCTAGGAGTATGCACCCAACCCTCCCGCCCCGCCCTGTCTTTTCATAGCTTGAACATTTACTTCATTTGTATCACTGAGTAACATTTTATCACTGAGCAATGGGTGCAGCTTGTTATGCATTCATCTATTTTAGGGCAACTTGGTTCCTTTTGAGTTTTGTGGATTATGAATCATATATGTTTGTGTTCAGGTTTTTGTGTGGACATAAGTTTTCAACTCCTTTGAGTTAGATACGTAAGACTACATTGCTGAATTATACAGTAGATCTCTGTTTATCTTTTTTTTTTTTTTTTTTTTTTTTTTTTTGCGGAACTGGGGATTGAACTCAGGCCCTTGCACTTGCCAGGGAAGCTCTTATTCTACTGAGCCATCTCCCCGGCCCCTATCTCTGTTTATCTTGGCAAGAAATTCTCATACTGACTTCCGAAGCGGCTGTACCATTTTGCATTCACACTAGCAGTGAGTGAGAGTTCCTCTTGCTCCTCATTCTTGTCAGCATGTGTCTGATCTGCTGAGTCTTTTGTCTTTCCACATAAGTTTTAGAATCATTTACCAGCATACACAAAATAACTGGCTGGGGTTTTGATTGGGTTGGCATTAAATCTATAAAGTTGGGGAGAATGGACACCTTAATAGTATTCCCCGTCTATGAACACAGACTACCTCTCTACTCACTTAGTTTTTCTGACACATTCTTGCCATGTAGTTTAGACTGGCTTTGAACTCACTTTGAAGCCACAAATTCACTCATCCTCCTGCCTCAGCCTCCTGAGTTGAGTGTGGGAATTACAGGTATGTGCCATCATGCCTAGCTTCATTCATTTAGACCTCTGATTTCTTTCATCAGAATTTTGTAGTTTTCCTCCTATATTTCTTACACATATTTTGTTAAATGTATTTCTTGTGCTTTCATTGTTTGGTACCAGTGTAAAGAGTGTGGTGGTTTTAGTTTCCATTTCCAATTATTCATTGCTGGGTGTCTCAGTTACTCTTCTGTCATTGCTAGGACAAAATACCCAACACCCAAAATGAAGGAAGAAAAGGTTTATTTAGCTCACAGTTACTGGAGGTTTCAGTCCATAAACGGCTGGGTCCAAGGCAGAGAGCTGCAGTTCATGGCAGTGGCAAAGAGCAAGAGCAAATGGGAGGGGTAGAGGCAACAACAGCTGCACAGAGCAAGTCTGTCTCCTTTGAATTGTCTTCAGGCTATCTGCCCCAGGCTGGGTGCAGCACTCACACCCACAATCCCAGTGGATCATGAGTTAAACACAAACTCTAGAAGTCCACCCCATGACTGCGTGAGGCTTTAGGAGGACAACTAGACACAAGCCATAACACTGGGTATCAGGAAGCAATTGACTTTTGCATATTAATCTTATATTCTGCACCTTTGGTGTAATTGATATGTACCTGAGATTTAGGCAAAAGCTTGCAAGAGTCAGGAGGTCAGAGGAGGAGCTGTTCCTCATCCCAATCCAGAGGCTGCCCACAGATGGGCCCTTGTTGCTGTAGAGACAATTTCCTTCCATGCCTAGTAGAGGCTCATGGCCAAGACCTCTATAACAAAAGACATTACCAAGAGAAAAGCCTACAGAGTCATGTATCATAGCTTGCATGTGACATGGGAGCTTTTGGATGTAAGGACCCAAAGACCCAAGGAAAATTATGTTTAGAGGCAGAAGTAGGGCCAGAGAACACATAGTGTGAGCTAACAGCAACTAATAGATCCTTACCAAGGTCTGCTTGTTCAGGTTCTTCTTGGCCTCTATTGTGACATGTCTCCCTTTGTGTATAGAGCAGGACACCTGTCACATGTCCCTATTCAAAAGAATAGGGAAGGAGGACAGGGAATGACCTTCAGCTTTGTTTTTGGTTTTGGTTTTGGTTTTTTTTTTTTTTTTTGAACTGGGGATTGAACTCAGGCCCTTGCGCTTGCCAGGGAAGTGCTTATTCCACTGAGCCATCTCCCAGGCCTCGACCTTCAGCTTTGGCAATTATCTTAATTTTCTTCAATGTAAAATGCTCTGGATACCACTGTACCATATCTTAGGTGTCATATTTTGAGCTCTGACAGAACTGACAAACTCTGGGACTTCAGGTTTGGAACTTCAGGTTTCCCAGATGGGGCACTTCCCTGGGGCTGCAGTCAAAGGGATCAGCACTGTCCACTTCCTGCCCCCACAGGTGACAGGTCAGAAAAGAGAGCCTCAAGCAAGCAGGCTCCCAAAGCAGAGGGCCTGGCAGGCAGGCATGGAGCCCAGCCTGGCCAGAAGGAGGGGGGCAGAGGCAGCCCAAGGCCTGGGCTCCCCCGGAGAAAGCAGACGGAATATAGGAGCCGCCATGAGGAGCTGCGGAGACAGGAGCGGAGTCCAGCTGCAAGGCCGGGTGAGGCCAGGAGGAAGAGGGGCATGGATGGGAGGGCTTCCACCAAGAAGCAGAGAGCACCCTCAAAGGACAAGGCGGTTCTGGGGAAGGAGGACTCGAGGAAGCAGCTGAAGAATCCCAGGTACGCGGCTCCGATCCTGAAACACTCTCCCCCTCCTCTGACCCGGTGGTCACCTCCCCTGTGCCTGCCTAGTTTCCCCATCTCTGTGAAAGGCAGCACCTGCTCCTCTCCTCCTTCCCTCCATCCCATCTTTGCCACTGACCACCTCTTGGCTTGGGGATCACAGACATCATGGGTGGCATGGCCACTGACCACTCCAACCACAGCCACTCATGGCACACATGGCGCAAGGAGGGTGAGGAGGAGGGTGGTGGTGATGTGGGACACAATCTCAATTCCCCTGAATTTCATCTGGTGACTTAGCTCATGCCTTTAGTTAGATGCTCCCCTGTTTCTCTCCACCTTCACAGAGGGGAGAAGGAGACCCTCTAACAGGACTACACATGCCAACTGTCTTTTGTCACCCACGCCAGCTGTCCTTGGCCAGGCTGAGATAAGGAGTTAAGGGATGCATGTGGCCTTAACAGCCTAGAAGTTGAAGGCATTGTTAAGGGCCCCGGTGTCCTGTTCATCGTCCTAACTGGCATGCAGACAGGATGCCAACGGGATTTGTGTGTGGCACTTTGAGCTGAATGCCATGGCAGGGCATAGAAGGATGAAAATGACTCAGCCCTGCCTCTCCAGATGCTGGCAGTCTGGCAGGGAAGATGAGACAGAGACATAAATTAAGACAAGGCAGAAAGTAGTGGTACACACCTCCAGGATGTGCTGGAGTGCTGCGCTGCAGAGAGCCGGGGCATCAGGTTTCCTCCCCAGAGGAGGTAAGCATTTCAGCAAGTGCCAGATGACAGGTACAATCTGAAAGGGCAGTGGCTGCGTGCCCTCCCTCCCCAGGGCTGCTCACAGGATGTGCGGGGCTGCGGCCCACAGTCCCTATGGCCTAGGCCTTTATACCCCAAAGAGCACAGTGAGACTTCCTGTCTCCTTCTCAGGGTTTAGTCACAAGCCGACATTCAGAGCAGCTGGTGCAAACTGTCACCCACACCCATGTCCTGATTCTTCCTTTCAGGAAGCTTTCTAAGGCTGCCTGGGGATAGATTTTTCTGCCCTCCTCAACTGCTCCACAAGCTGCTATCTGGCTCAGCTGAGAATCACTGTTTTTATCAGTGAGGGACCGTGCAGAGCACACCCAACAACTCGGATCTGTGGCAGCTAAGCACAGTGTCTGTGAGACCAGGGGGGTCCTGCATCGGGATTTCTGTAAGAAGCTGTCCACAGCTACACTGTCTAGTAAGAGGACCACAGCGCACATGTGGCTCCGAGCACCTGAAACACAGCCAGAGTCACTGAGGAATCGAATCCACAATTTAATTTCATATAATCTTGAGATAACACCACTGAGTTGACTCATTGGTGAATTTATTTAACAAACAGATTTTTTTTAACAAATGTAGTTCTGAAACTGATTTGATTTGACTTTAAAGCCAAAGTATTTTTTCTACAAAAAGATGAATTAGCTTTGTCGGTGAGGATGACAATATCAAGAAAATGACATTTTGCCTCTTGTTTCAGTTATTGGAAAACTTTTAAATATGTCTAAAACAACTTGGGTATGTGATGCTAGTTTTTCAGCTATAATTTTGCAAAATCCAAATACAGATGTGGCACATTGTATAGAAATTTGAATAGACATGTAACACGAACACAAAGTGAATAACAGATTTTTTAATTAGTACAAGAAGATTGTAAAATAACTCAATAATTTTATACGAAGTACATGTTGAAATAATTTTATATATTGGATTAAATGAAATGCAGTGTTACTATTCATCTTATCCATTTCTTTCTACCATGTTAACGTGGCTACTAGAAAATGTTACATTCTAACAAGTGGCACACATTTCCTTCCACTGGGCAGCAAGCGTGTGCTAGACCGAATATGTGAGAGAAGTTAAATTAAATTTAGGGGATAGCCCTGAGGTACACTGGGCTACCGAAGAGGTTGGCGGCCTCCGCTGAGGGGCAGAAGTTGTCACCAGCAGCTTCAGAGCGGGGATGGCACGGGCATGCACATGAGTGTCAGGGAGCATGCCCCACCATCCTGTCCACGGGAGCCCCAACCACCAGACCAGGTGAGTCCCCCTACCTCCTTTCCATCTCCCCTCTGACTCTGCCCTGCCTGGGCCCCAGGTCATCATCCTTGGCCTCCAGTACCTCTGGAGGGGAGTCCCTGTCTGAGGAGGAACTGGCCCAGATCCTGGAGCAAGTGGAAGAAAAAAAGAAGCTCATTGCCACCATGCGGAACAAGCCCTGGCCTATGGCCAAGAAGCTGACTGAGCTCAGGTGAGCTGGGCATGGCCAGCCAGGTTTCTTGATATCCACAAGGCTCAGCTCCTTCTGTTGGGAATGGAAGTCTCTTTCTCTTCTTTGCCCTAAGGGGACTTGATAAGAAGAGGGATTCATGCTCTCATCCCCCAGTGAAACCACAGGGGGAGAGAGGGGTACCCTCTGGGACCCAGGGGGCCTTGAGATTTGCCAGCCCCAAGTGGGAGAGACAGAAATCTGTGTCCAGCCCTTCCATAGCCTGACTGCCATTTAGTGCAGTGCCCCATGGCACCTAGTGGCTCTATGCTTCCCTCTTGACTCAGAGAGATCCTCCCCAGGGAAGTCTCCTTTGACGTCCCAAAAAGCTGGGCTCCCTTGTGTTTTGTTGGCACCCAGAATTTCTGCATGTGGTGCTCACTCTCACTTGCAGTGAAAGAAGTTCTGTCTTCACTATTTGCTCCTCCCTAATACAAGACCATGCTGGGAATGGCTCCTCACTTACAGCTCTGGTATTGATGGGGACTTCTATTTTCAATCCCAGTGGCTTCTCTGGTTTCTGTGTGAAAGGCTTGCACACCAAGCTTTTTATGACTGGAGTCCATGCTGCAATCTTGGGAAAAGAACAGAAGTCACATTGCAAACCTTTAGTTTTCAACTAGAAAATTCCCAGCCAACATTACATTTTCCCCAGTCCCTGCTCTAGTTTTCTGCCACAGCCTTGAGTGTGAGACTCCTTTTTCCCTTTCCTAGATGTGAAAACCATTTTTCTTGGCTTCTTTCACACACAACTCCACCTCTGCATTTGTTCACATCCAGGTCAACCCCTCGCCTTTTAAGGAGCATGATTTGGCAGTCATGTTTTGCCACTATATACGCAAGAGACAGCAAAGATTCTGACCAAGAGACACAGGACCATCAAGTGGTTCATGGCAAGTGAAGTGGACCAGCCAGGGTTCAAACCCAGCCACACAGTACAGACCCTGCCACCAATTCTCCAAAACATAGCTCCCTCTAGGGCTCCCTAACCCAATATTAACATATCATGAGCTAAAAATTGCGGAAGTTGATACTAAGGGGTTTTTTTTGTTTTGTTTGTTTTTTTTTGTTTTGTTTTGTTTTGTTTTGTTTTTTTTGGGACAGGTCTACAGGGCATTCAGGGTCTCACTACTAGATGGGACTCAGTGATCCACCTGTTTGTGGCCTCCCAACAGTTAGGATTACAGGTACGCACCATCATGCCCAGTCTCAATTGCCATCTCAGCATGCCCCGGGGGGTGGGGCAGGCTCAGCAGGCCTGGGAATAGAACCAAGTAGAACCCCTGGCCCCTGCACCCGCTTGCAGGCACTTTAATCTGCCAAGCTATTTGGCCAGCCCAATACTAAGGGTCCTCAATGCCAAAAAATTCTGTGAGTGTGACCAGTGGGTGTTCAGGCCCCTGACAGGAGGAAGAACCCAGCCTGGAGGGACAGGGGAGAAGAGCAAGTGAGAAAATGCATATATTAATTAGTTTGATCTAGCCATTCCACAGTATAAATAATTATCAAAACAGCATGTGAATTTTAAATAGCATATATACTTTTTTGTTTGTCAGAGAAAGAATTAAAAATAATTTAGAAATGAAAATAGACCCATGGGACCACGGAGATAGCTCAGTGGTATAAGCGCCTGCCTAGGCAAGCTCAAGGACCAGGGTTTAATCCCTGGCACCACATGCCACACCACCCGAGGCACACCACGCTGGCCACCAAGACCTAGTGTGATGTCACACACCTGTAATCCCAGCACTAGGGAGGCTGAAACAGGAGGATCATTATGAGTCTGAGTTGCATAACAAGACCCTGTACCAAATACAAGAAAGAAAGAAAGAAAGAAAGAAAGAAAGAAAGAAAGAAAGAAAGAAAGAGAAAGAGAGGGAAAAGAAAGGAAAAGAGAAGAGAAAAGAAACAAAAAGAAAAGAAATACACCTGTGAGGCTGGTAGTAACAGTTCTAACTTAGGCAGTAGATGGCTTTTCCTAGGCCTTTCTCCGAGGCTCTTCTCCCCTGTCCCTCCAGGCTGGGTTCTTCCTCCTGTCAGGGGCCTGAACACCCACTGGTCACACTCACAGAATCTCACTGTCACTCAGGTGTCACCTGATGCATCTTTTATTAACAGTGAAAAAGGAGCAACCTGGATGCTTGTAGACATGAGAGCTCCAGCTGGTGGGAAGTCTCAGGGACCAGGAAGGTCCTGCCTAGAGCAGGCCTTTCGGGGCAGGGTTCCTGCTGCTGGCAGGTAGGCAGCGACTAAGGCTCAGAAGTCGAGTTATCTAGGTCTTTCCTGTTCAAACAGTAGGTCTTTCCCCTCCAGACCTCTCTTTTCCCCTCCAGACCTCTCTTCTCCCCTCCCCTAAGATGTCTTTTTTTTTTTTTTTTTGTCCTGGAAGTCAAATTCAGGACCTTGTGCTTACCAGCTGATACCAGCTGGCACATGCACCCCTGAGCTATAGCCAGGCCCAGGCCCAAGACTAAGGCTCTCTGTCTCTGAGGCTCCACAGCAGTGGGTCCTCTGCCTAGAAGACCTCTGCTTCCTAGCTAACTCCCACATGCCAGGAAGGCCCAGGTCAAGCACTGTCTCCTCTACAGAGGAATCTCTAATCCCTCCCCCTGCATTCAGGCTGAGTTATTCACTGTCCCCTTGATCTCAAGGAATGGTCCCCTCACTTGCCTGGATGTGCTTGTTTACAAAGCTGTGTCTTTTTCATCCTTTAAGGATCTTCCTCTCATATCTAGCCAGCCTCTGCTAAGTGACCCCTATTCTCACCTTGTGAAGTAGGTTCTGGCATTTTTGTCCCCATTTTACTGGTGAGGAAATTGAGTCACAGAACCATCAAATAATTTTCCCAATGTCATGTGTCATTAAGTGGCATACCCAGGATTTGAACTTAGGAACTCTGGTCCCAGGGCCTGTACTGTTAACCTATAATCACCTCCCCAGAATTACCAGGCATTGCAGTGTCTCTGCCTACTGTATGACTTCCTTTGCTGGCAACAAAGTCTCCAATTGCAAGTGCCATTCCCAGACTCCATTTCCTTTTATGCAGCAATGACAAGTGGGCCTCGGTCTCTGTCCCCACCATGCATCTGACTGACTTGAGCATGGACACTGCATCAACTGTCGAAGAATGGCAAGGTACCAAGGCAACAGCAGGAGATGGGCCAACCTAACTTCAGGCTTCTGCCCCCTCAGAGTGATTAAGGGGGCTCTGGCTGGCCCCTCACTCTCTCTCAGCCTGGTTTCCTCCCTTCACCTCTCTTAGCCTCACATTACTCATTTATTAAAGTGAGGACAATAGGGGCTGAGGAGAAACTCTGAAGCATAAGCACCGACCTGCAAGCACAAGGACCCAAGTTTGATCCCCAGCCCCCTGCATGCCATGCCAGCCCTGGATATGGTGGCGCATGCCTGTAATCCCAGTGCTGAGGAGGTAGACACAGAAGGGTCACTGCCAGTTGGAGACCAGCCTGAGGGCTACAAAAGTGAGCGCAAGGCCAACCCCCACTCTGTCTCAAAAAAAAAGAAAAGAAAAAGTGAGGACAATAATGATTGATCTCATGGGTTACTCTACAAGTCCCAAGCTATTTATTTATTTATTCCCAAGCTATTTATACTAATTAATACATAATTAATAATTTGCAGTTATTATTAAAATTTGACCTGTTTTTGTTTCATTAAACTATGTTAAGTCCTGAGAGATGAAGTTGAAGAACAAAGAAGAATTTAAGAAGCACACTGGTATTGTTAATAATAAGACAGGCAGTGGGTGAGGTTGGCATGAAGGTTCTGGGGCCCATGAGGCAGAACATCGTTTCAATTATAGAATTACTCAGATGGGGTCCCTCAGTTTTATAAAAAGCTTGATGTCTTAGAAAGCTATCCAAACTGCCTGCTTTCTTTAGAGAGATCAGAAGGTTGCTTTCCCTTCTCTTCTTCCCACTGTACCTAGATGTTACATCTGAAGCAAACTATGAAGACTGAGAAAGGTGGAGGGAAAGCGAATTGACAGAGGACCCCAGAGGACACGGATGGCAGAGCTTTGGGCTCCCTCGCTTTTCTTTTTGCCTTGTGTGTCCCAGCCTGGGTGTTGGAGAAGCCAACAACCCAGAAACTCCCACCTCCTGGCAGCTTGCAGCTCTCACCGGGGCGTGAGGGCCCTTCGGAGCTCCCTGATCACTCGCCGTGTTCATTTCCTTCTTGGACTTTCCATGCGGCCCCTGCAGAGGGACCCAGCAACCAAGTCAAGAATTTCTCTGCTTTTGATTTCTGGCGTTCCCTTCTGCCAGGGCTTTCTCACTGTTCTGCCCTCCACACCTGTTTTTAAGGGCTCATGCAATAACATTGGATTCATCCAGATAATCAAAATATTCTCCCTATTTTAAAGTTAGCGATCTTAATTACATCTACAGAGTCCCTTCTGCCACATTGCAGCTTACCCACAGGTATAACACGCAAGGGGAAAAAGTCTCTGGGAGCAATGACACAATTCTGCCTCCCATGGGGGTACCCCATATGCTAACCATTATTCTTGGCATTCAGGAAACTCCACAGGACAAAACAAACCAAGTGCCCTGCCTTGATGCAATGTATATTTCAATTGAGGGTATAAAATCACCAAAGACTTTCAGCCATCGTCCCCTCTCCTGGTTTAGATTTCCATTGATTAGTTGTTAATCTTGTATTTTCCCTCTGACCAGGGAGGCCCAAGCCTTTGTGGAGAAGTATGAAGGAGCCCTAGGAAAGGGGAAAGGCAAGCGACTCTACGCCTACAGGATGCTGGTGGCAAAGGTGCGTGGTGCGGAGAGGACACACCTGCTGGCAGGGCTGGCCCTGGCTGGGAATGTGGGGACCCCTGCAGGTAGCTGCACGCTCCTCACTATTTGTGTTAGCTTCCCCTGACCCTGCAGGTGAGACCTAATACACTCTTCCAACTCTTCCAGGAAATTCAGTGCTATCCTGCCAGTGCTGTACTTACTCTGTACCTATCAGTGGGAGCTTCAGTATTTGTGAGATTTATTTCCTCTCTGGAAAATAAACTCACAGAATTAATGATGCTACTGGAGATTTTATCTTCTGAACCCCAAATCAGGACATGCTGATTTGGTGGAGACCCAAGAGGGATACGGTATAATTGGCGTACGTGGATGATTAGCTGTGGTGTCCCCAGAGAGGACAGACATCTCTGCCTTGTTCTGTCATAGCCGGGCTTCTGATTGGGGCGTGGGTAACGTCCTATGATGGGATGTTTGCGGTGGAACTTACTAAAACGGCCTTCCTTTGGGATCCTGAAGTGGTACCAGAGTACCCACTGATTTGAAAAACTAACATTGCCATTCACTTAATATAGTCTGCCTCAGAACTTCTATTCTGAACCATGATTTAATGATTAGCTTAACTTCTTTCTCATTTATTTATTTATAGCCCCTGGTAGCCACATTCTATGCTTGACTTCTATGAAATCAATTTTTAAATATTTATTTATTTTTTTGCAGTGCTAGTGATTGAATTGCGGGACTTCATGAATAATAAGCAAGCTCTACCACTGAGCCATACCCCAGCTCTGAGATAAACTTTCTGTATTCTACATAATGGTGTGGAATTTTTTTAACCCTTGATTTAATTTGGTCAAGCTTCTTATTCATGTGGCATTTAGTTTTGCACCTAAAATATCACATGTTTATTTTACATCTTTCCACAAAGTTTGTCATTTTCTTTACTTAAATATTTTCTATGTTTTAATCTTACTTCTGCATAGTTTATAATCTAATTACTTTTGTGAATAGAATCATCATTTTTCATTAAATTATAATCATCATTAAATTATAACTAGTTCTTTGTTATAGGTCTCTCTTCCCTTCTCCTCTCTCTCTGCCCCTCTCCCTGCTGTCCCCCCCTCCCCCCCTGCCCCCTTCTCTCTCCCCCTCTGTCCCCCTTTCTCCCCCCCCCCCCACCCCCTCTCCCCTGCACACACTGAGGCCCCACCCTGTGCTCACATGTGCTGGGCAAGCACTCTAGAGCCCCAGCAGTTTGTACTCTTATTAATTCTAATCATTCTAATATTTCATCTAAATATGTATGTTAAAGATGTTTTGTCAGCTTTTTTGTAAATGTGATGTATTCTCCCTACCCTAAAGTGTGAGTTAATAATCATAGAACAATTTCAGTGGATAATATTGAGCACAGGTTGCTTTGTCTTTTTATCATTTTAATGAGGATGACATTAGTGCTTCATGTGAAGTTTATGAGAGCTGCCAGCCTGAGTAGACTGCCTTAACTCTTGCATAACAGGAAATCAGCATTTCGTTACAGCTAGTAACAGCTCCACGTTACTGGAAGTAGGCCTTGGGTTTTATTAAACATCTTCCCTTTTGGCTGACAAATTTCTTTTATTTTTGGAACAACCTCTTTGGTGGCACAATTTTTTAAATTTATATTTTGACACCGGGTCTCACTAAATAGTTCAGGCTGGCCTTGAGCTCCTCCTGCCTCTGCCTCCCAAGTGCTGAGATGACAGGCATGAAGCACCACATCTCAATCACTCTTCTCTCATTGCTGGGACAAATACCCGATCCTCAAAATGAAGCAAGAAAAGGCTTGTTTAGCTCACAGTTAATGGAGGTTTCAGTGATACTCAGCTGGCTCCAAGGCAGCGTGGCACATGGCAGAGAGCAGCAGTTCAGGTGGAAGGCAGCAAAACAGCAAGAGCAAGGAGAGGAGTAACAGCAACAAAGCCACAAAGAGCAAGTCTGTCTCCCTGTCTCTCTGATGTTACATTCAGGCTATCCGCCCCATTATGGGTGGGTAGCACTCACACCCATAATCCCAGCAGTACTCAGGCCCATAATCCCAGCCTTGGATCATGAATTAATCACAAACTGTAGAACCGCACCTCAAAGCCTGCATGAGGCTTTGGGGGACAAATACACACAAACCGTAACACACCATGCCTGGCTGTGGCATATTATTTTTAACTCCATGGACATGTTTGGTGTTATACTTTTTCATGTATGGCTTTTACAAGATTGATCTGGACTTGTGTGTATGTGTGTGCACATGGGTCCATGTGTGCCATCTTGGCAGATTTTTTACTACTGGGGTGTTCTTGGCTTACGATATTAAGGAGCTAGCATTACTTTCACCTTATGCTGTACATTAGTTTATGGAGCTTAATTATTCATTTTTTGCAAGGTTCATCTCCAGAGAATACTTTAATAATATTTTTATGCAACCCCTCTTTGTTGGCATATTCAAGCTTCAGCTTTTGGGGGAGGTATCTTGATAATTCATATTCTTCTCCAAACTTGATTATTTCACTAAAAATTTCCTGTGCATTTATAGATGGTGGCATATGGAAGCTCAGTAATTTTATAATTAGTCTGTATATCTGTCTTATTTGAATCTTTCTATATTTAAAATTGCGTTCTCCTTTTTCAGTTGTAAATGTCTAACAATGAGCTATGGGTCATTTTATAAATTTTGTCTAAAAAGTACCACTTCACAACGGCACACTCAGATTTTGTTCTCCAACTGAGGAATGTGGTCTTTGGTGGTATCTTTTTCTGCAACAAATACTTTCTATCCTTGTCTTAGATCTGTGCTTTTGGATTTCAGCAGAACAGAATTCCAAAACTACTACTGTTAGTTCCTAAGCATGCATATTTTAAATTTCGACACAGATCTCCAGGTTATTTTCCCAATTTGTAGCAGCTCATACACAAATGAACAAAGTCTGGGGATGAGGTATCCGTTCCAGCTGTAATATTGCTGTCTTTTAAAATGTGTGCTAAACTAATGGATTACAAATACATTGTGTCTTCCTTTAAATTGCATTCACTGCCTGTAATCCCAGCACTCTGAAGGCTGAGGCAGAAGGATTGTTGGGAAATGCAAACCAGCCTAAACTACAAAGTGAGCTAGTGGCCAGTCTGAACTGCATAGTGAGACCCTGTCTCAAAAAGACATAAATAAATAAATAAATAAATAAATAAATAAATAAATCACATTCACTGTTGAGCCAGGCATGGTGGCAGGAGCATAGAATCCCAGCACTCAGGAGGCTGAGGCAGGAGAAGTGTTGTGAGTTCAAGGTCAGCCCTGGCTACATAGTGAGTGCAAGACCAGCCTAAACCATGAAGCAAGACCCTGTCTCAAAAATAAGTAAGTAAATGAATTGCATTCGCTGTTCTTTTCGCTGTGGCAAGAACACCCAACTTGAGATCTGCCCTCTTCATACAGTTTTGAGCACCCAGCACAATACTGTTAGCCACAGCCACAGCAGCTGTGTGGAGCTGTTCATTCTAGCTTCCACCAAGCACATCCAGCTCCCCACTGACAGAAAGGGTAACCAACCATCATCTGGTCTACACACTTACTTTCCCCACTGCTTTAATTCTTTACTTTCTGAATCTGTGCAATTTCATAAATTCTCAGTATCATTCAATCCATGTTCCTGTGCTGTCACAGCTTTCACTGTGCCAGTGTTTCTTTTCATTCCATTCCTGGATTCCTTGCTCCATGCAGTCCTTCCAAGTCTCACCTGTATCATCTTTACAATTGCAAATGGTCGTCCTTTGCCTCAGAAGGCAGGTTCCTAATATCCTGCTGAGAACACTGAACAGCCTCCTAGATTTTATGTGTCCTACATGAGGAGCATTTTCCACAAACTTCCTTGCATTACAATACTATTTCCCAGGTCTCCCCGATTGTTTTCACTTTAGCCACCCAGGTTCAGGCTTTGGCACAGGCAGGACTCCTGTCCTGCCGGGGTCCTGTTTGACCACTATTGGAAACCTTTTTCTTCTATGTATCTGTAGAGCAAGAAAACAAGACCTAGCCACAGGCCAGCAGCTCCCATCTCATGTAGCCCAGAGGAAGCAACTCTGAGTCTCTGGTCTTTACCCAGCCCAAGGTTCTGGCTCTCTAAACCAATGAAGGATAAGGGTTCCACCAGGCTTCTCTCTGCCCCGGACCCTCATTTTCAGTCCAGGAGACCCACAGCCTTGAGGGCCTGTTAGTGGTTTCCAGGGCTCTGCCCCAAGAGACCTCACTTGGCCATGTTCGCTATTCCTACTGGGCCTCAGCTTTGCAAGCCTATATTTTATACTGATTGTATCAGCACCCTGATAAGAAATCCATCTCTCAGGGGAGGACTCACATTAATAAAGCTTATGAAACAGATACATAAAACCAGCCACAAGATTATTAATTTATAAGGAGAAATTACTGATACAAGAGCCAGAAAAGGCAAAGTCCACATCAGCAGTGCCTTTTATCTTTGAGTCGAGTTAGTTTCATGGGCAGCTATACCTTCATCCAAATTCCAAGCTATTTACAATGAAAGTCACTACCACAGAAACCAAGATGCACTTGGCCCAGCTGATTGGCAAGTATTCTCTTTCTAAGTGGACTTGGGGGAAGCCAAGCAAAGTGAAGGGTATTTTTCAACACAGAATCAGGACTATACAAGGAGGATGAAGTCCTGGGGCTGGTGTAGCTGGAGGCTACAGCTGCCTTTCTGCACATCCTGTCGGGTCTTTGCCCTGGTTATCATCTAGACTTCTGCACACAGGCCCCATCTGTGACCACCCATGTCTTCTGACAAATGGTTCTCTCTTTCCATAGTAATCATTCACTCAGCATGTACAAAACCATGCCTAGAAACTCAGCTTTGGAAACCTATCTCATTCCTTCATGCAAACCTTTCATCCTTTAGTGACTTTACAAGGGAAAATCTCATTTTCTTCATGAATAATTTTTAGTTTAGTTTTTTGTTTTTTGTTTTTTTTTTTTTTTTGTGCAGGGTCTCACTACATAGCCCACATTAGTAGTGATCCTCCTGATTTCTGCCTCCTAAGTGCTGGGATTACAGGCATGCGCCACCGCGCCCAGACTCCATCACCAGCTCAGTGTACCCGGAGGCGGGGCCAGTGCAACAAGCAGAGCCCAACCCTGGGCCCTGCGTTTACCTAAGCAAACGCTTAGTCCACTGAGCTATACCGCTGGGCCTATGAATAATTTTTAGTAGACCTTTTAAAAATAGAAACTGGAGCTGGGGATATAGCTGAGCAGTACAGTGTCTGTCTGGCAATCACAAGGTCCTAAATTAAATTCCCTGCACCAAAAAAAAGGTAAAAATAGAAACTGATCTTAGAATTTGCTGTACATTTGCCTACTATTTTCCATGGGTCTCTTTAAAAATTTTAAATGAATTTATTTCCAGTTGGATGAGTGGAGAGCAAATCTCAGAGAACTGACAAAACAGGGCTTAGCTATCAGACAAACAGCTGGCCTGGTTTCTGGCTGATGCAAACGCCACATGAGGAGTTAGAGACCAACCCACAAGCGTTAGCCATCTTTCCATCACTGCAGCAAGTACTTGTCAACTTATTAAGAGAAACATGATTCTAGCTTTCAGTTTTGGAGGCTGCAGTCTGTGAATGGTCAGCCTCCTTGCTTTGGGCCTGTGGAGGGGCAGCACATCATGGTGAGATCACATGGTAGAGAAAAAACATTCACCTCATGGCTGAGGTGCAAAAGGAGAGGTGACACGGGAGGGGCTGAGGCACACACCTCAGTGACGGAAGCCCACCCACTAGCCCTACTTCTTTTCTCCCCCCCCCCCTACTTCTTAAAGATTCTGTCATGTCTCATTACTCTTCTTTCATTGCTGGAACCAAATATATAACACCTAAAATGAGGAAGGAAGGTTTATTTAGCTCATAGTTTGTGGAGGTTTCAGTCCATACTCAGCTGGCTCCAAGGCAGACTGGCATATGGCAGAGAGCAACTATTCATGGTGGCAGCAAAAAGGAAGAGGGTAAAGGGGGTGGCAGCAGCTCAGGCAGGTAGCTGGCTTCTCTCCCCTCCTTACATTGTAGTGCAGAATATCTGCCCAGGGCACTCACACCCACAATCCCAGCACTGGATCAAGAATCAGTCACAAACTCCAGACACTGCCTCATGACTGCATGAGGCTTTGGGGGACAACTAGACATTAACTGTAACATTCCGCCCTTGGACCCCCAAAGACTCATGCACACCCCTTTATGCAAAAGGCATTTTAGTCCATCCCTAAAAGTTGCCAAAGTCCTAACAGTTTCAGCATTGCTGAAAAGTTCAAGTCCCAAGTCTCCTCCAAGATTTAAGGCAAACTCTTAGGACCGGTGACATAGCTCAGTGGACTAAGTTCTTGCTTAGGTAAGCAAAGGGGGCAGGGTTCAATCCTTGGCACTGCATGCCATGCTGGCCCTGCCCCCATATGCGCTGAGCTGGCACGGAGTCTGGGAGTGGTGGTGTATGCCTGTAATCCCAGCACTAGGGAAGCAGAAATAGAAGGATCACTATGAGTCTGAGCTGCATGGTGAGACCCTGCACAAAATAAATAAATAAATAAAATAAATACAATCAGGCTGGCCAGATAGCTCAGCAGACTAGAATGCCTGCTTAGGCAGAGCACAGTAGCTGGGGTTCAATCCCTGGTGTGCTGTGCTGGCCCCACCTCCAGGGCGCACTGAGATGGCGGTTGAGTCTGGGTGTGGTGGTATACACCTGTAATCCCAGTTCTTAGGAGGCTGAAAACAGGAGAGTCATTATGAGTCCTATCTGTGTTGTGAGATCCTGTAGACTCTGCATAACCTGTACCAAATACAATAAAATAAAATAATAATAATAATAAGGCAAACTATTAGCTGTGAGCCTTCTACAAATGAAAAGTTAAACACCTCCAACATTCAATGACACAAGATAAACACTACCATTACCAAAAGGTACACACCACAGGATTGGGACCAAAGTAAGTCCAAAATCCAGAAGGGTGACCATTAAGTCCTGTAGTTCCATGTGGAACATCTGAAAAAATCTGGAGCAAATTGTGAGCTCCACGTGGCTCCACCTCATGCTGCTGCTTGCAGCCCATGGTTCTCTCTCAGGCCTGCTTTGCTCCCTTTTGGAGCTTTTCTTAGATGATCCACATTCTTGGCTTTTTTAAACATCTGGGGTTCCACTAGGCTTCTCACACTGCACTCCTAGGGGTACATACCTGGTCTCCCAGGCCTTCTGAAATCTAGGTGGAAGCCTTCTTAACCTCAGAACTCCTTCATTCTGCAAGCATCTAACACCAGTACCTTGTGGATGATGCCAAGGTCTGCTGCCAGCTGGAGCAGTAGTCAGGCTTCCTTCTCTCTTGGCTGTAGTGGTCCAGTGCCTGGACCACTGAACATTCTGACCCTGGGGTGGGTAATTTGCATTACAATGTGAGGAGGGGAGAGAGGCTAGCTAGCAAACACAGCAGCGGCTTCTCCCTTTGCTCTTGCTCTTTGCCATCATCATGAATAGCTGCTCTATGATGCTGTGTGCCCTTCTGCCTTGGAACAGTTGAGTATGGACTGAACCCTCCACTAACTGTGAGCTAAGTAAACCTTTCCTTCCTTCATTTTGGGTGTTGGTTATTTTGTCCCAGCAATGAGAGAAGAGCAACTGAGACATGCCATCTCCCAATAGTGGCACTCTGGGGAACAAGTCTATAGTATACAGGTCTTTGGGGGTCAGTCCAGATCCAAACCAGAGCACCTTTAATGGGGAAACAATGTCTTCCTTACTCCTTCCAGAAAAGCAAGGCTATTATTTTCCTGGGAGAATGGGCAGCTAAGAGTTGAGGACACCATAGCAGTTCTACCAAACTCACAGTTCAATTCCTACTAGGGCAAGGTACTTGACCATCTCTCAAATGTGAATATGAGAACTGTGAGATATCTTTTTCCCTTGAAATTGGGTTAAGATAAAAAGTTGTATGAGAGATTGTTAACCCAATTCAATCCCCCAAATGAGAAATTGCATGCAGAATTTCTAAACTCATGAATATGCTTTCCAAATCTGAGACTTTAGCAGCATGACAGAGAAATGAGGAGTGTTGCAGCTGTCCTGGCTTCAGTCGCACTCCACAAGTAACTTTGGGAAAGAAAGGAGGAGCCCGGCAGCCTGGGCTCAGGATCTCAGTAGATGGGGCCTCCCAGGCAGCAGCCTTGCCCATGAGTCAGCCTCAGGTTGACATGGCAACAGCGATGCCATATCACACCAGCGATGGTGGTACCCCATACCACAGGCCACTTTGTGCTCCAGGTCAACATGTCAATAACTGAGGGTTTTGTGTGTTTCATTTCAGAAATGGGTTAAGTTTAAGAGAGATTTTGATAATTTCAAGACTCAGTGTATTCCCTGGGAAATGAAGATCAAGGACATTGAAAGTAAGTATTTTGGTGCCACTGTTTTTCAACTGGTTTCCTAAAGAGTCTTCCAAGGGCTTGGATTGTGTTCTTGACCTTAAGCCTAGATTATTTTATAGATTCTGTTGTGTTAGGAAGACGAAGAATGAGGTGAAGAAAAGGGAGTGAGAAGGAAGAGAGGAAAGCAGTAGAGAGGAAGAGGGGTTTGGAATTAATAGGATTAAGACTTAAATTTGGCTTCTTCACCTTCTGGTGGTGGCGATCTTAGCAGGTTGGTTAATCCTACAGAGATTAGGGTTATTATACGGGAAAAGAAAATGGAGATCAGGATGTTGGTTCCTCAGACTGTTGTGAAGATGGAGTCCCTGAGAAACATAGTCCTCAGCTGTGTCCGGTCCTCCATCCACACAAGTGAATCCACCCTCTTCTCTCTGCAGGTCACTTCGGTTCCTCAGTGGCATCATATTTCATCTTTCTCCGATGGATGTATGGAGTTAACCTGGTCCTTTTTGGATTAATATTTGGTCTAGTCATAATTCCAGAGGTAAAATAATTTTTTTCAAAACACCTTTCTACATCTTTGGGTAGTGCTGAAACTTATGTGAGTATTACTGCTGAGTATTATCCAAATACTCCCTGTTTTCCAAAACATTTGGTCATTCATTTTTAATTTTACATACTTGTGTCAATCACCCAGATGGCTCAGTACAAAAAAAATGGAACCAGGGCCAGGGAGATGGCTCAGTAGAATAAGCGCTTCCCTAGCACAAGGGTCTGAGTTCAATCCCTGGTTCCACCAAGAAAAAAAAAAGGAACTAAAGTACTTATATTTCTATTTTATAAATGGACACTACCTTTTTCTACCTTTCATTTTTTACCTTAAGATCAATGGAGAATTAATATCACAGAGGGTTTTTTCTTTTATATACCTACATAGAGAAACAGACAACACTAAACAATAAATGAGTAGAAAATAAGGAAAAGCAAAGAAATGGTGAGTGTGAGTCTGGCAGGCTGACCCAGGGGTCCAGCAGTCCTGGGGCTCTTCGCTTCTCCAACTAGCCTATGAATACACACATGAAACGTTAATTTTCTTCTCATTATGGCCAACTTCACATAGGTACTACATATGCTACTTTGTGTGCAACATATTTTCCAGTAACAATATAAATTAAAAACAAAAGAAACAGGGAAATTACCTAAGATGAGAAGCCAACAAATTAAAAAACTAAAAATAATGATGTATTAAGTGGTGAAATACTAATGTCTGTGCTACAAAATTTATAAGCAGAAGGGCAGGGCTGAGAAAAGAGAAGGTAAAAGTGATCAAAATGCAATCCGTACATGATTTATTCAGGGTAAAGTGCCTGCTTAGGCAGAGAATAGGGACCAGGGTTCATTCCCTGGTGTGCCGTGCCGTCCCTGCCCCAGGGCGTGCTGAGACAGTGACTGAGACTGGGTGTGGAGACTGGCTGCCTGTAATCCCAGCGCTTGGGAGACTGAAACCAGGAGAATCACACAACTCAGGTCTGTGTAGTGAGACCCTGTAGACTCTGTACTAAATACAAAAAAGTGTTCATTCCCCAATTAATATAATTATTATGTACTGTAAACATACACTGATAAAAATTTTTAAGTGTCACTAAAAAAAACTCACAAGCAATATATCCTTACTGTTACCACTTGTCAATATCATTTTGAAATGTTTATCTTAAGTCAAAAAGAATTAAGTATACAAAAGAAATATTTTGTATAAATATTTTATACAAAAACAATATTAGTTTAGTTTTCTGGTAACATGCACATCCACACATACACAACTCCAGTTATTCTACCAAAAACTAGTTGATTGTTTTGTGGTGCTGGGGATTAAATAAGAGTTTTGTGTTTAATGATACATAAGCACATGGTCACTGGAGTACATTTTAGCCCCAAGTTACTGGAATTTTATATATATATATATATATATATATACCAAGGATCAAACTCAGTACCTTGCACTTGCCAGACAGGCACATAAACCACTGAGCTATCTCCCCAGCCCTAGAATTTAACAAAAGAGTATATTCAAATTAGCTGCTAGACTCATTTTAGTAGACAAAGAGCAACAATTCTTTACATTCTTAACACTCAGTTTAAAATAGATTTTAAAATTTTTATGTTCATAATGGCAATAAATATATAAAATAACTAGTAAAAATTTAGCAAGCCGGAAGATTTCTGTGAGGAACACTATAAAGTACACATTACTGGACAAAAAGAAGACAATGACAGGAAGGATACATCCTAGGAAGAAGAAACTTAATGTCGTAGAAAAGTCACTTGATATGTGAACTCAATCATGTTGTGATTTCTTGCATAATTAAGGATGTGGATAAGGGCCTATGTATTAGGGTATTAACTAAATTATGCACACACACAGAACTAGAAATACTCTAATGTCCAACAATAGAGAGCTGTTAAGTATGTTCATGGTACACACATGTGATTAGATATATTTAAGTCATTTTATTTTTGGAAATACCTTATGACACAAGGAATTAGTTGTAATATAACATATTATGTGAAATAGCTAGGCTAAAATATATGCAGACAGAAGTCAGAAGTAACTGAAACAAAGTCTGTATCTAGCTAGCAGTTATTACTTCTGGGTTGTGGACGTGATACATATTTAAAATGCTCTTCTATACTTTTTCACATTTTCTACAAGTAAGTATGTGTTACTTTTACTCCAAATGCCTTCAGGGCAGGTTTGGCTGACTTGAGTTGTGGGGATCCAACCACAGCAACCTGAGCCTGACTGCTTTGTTGAAGCAGCCACTTAAAGAACTGAGCTAAGGGGCAGGCCCCCTATGTGTTACTTTTAAAATCAGGAAAAGATTAATATTATTTTAAAAACATGGAACATCCTATTCTGAGAAGGAAAGTGTTTATGCTCTACCTGCTCATGTGTATATGTCCCTCTCTCCCCCATTTATGCCTGTGCCATTTTGTCCCTGCCCAGGTACTGATGGGTGTGCCTTATGGAAGCATTCCCAGAAAGACTGTGCCTCGGGCCGAGGAAGAAAAGGCCATGGACTTCTCTGTCCTTTGGGATTTTGAGGTACTATTGCGACAGGCCTGTGCACTTCCACCCTGTGATTCTCAGGCCTAAAGATGGAATGGATGTGTGTGAAATGCTTCATTTAATTATTGAAAAAACAGTGCTTCAGTCAGGCAGGATCTCGCCATTAGGCAGAATGCTTTCCCATCCCTCTTGCTTCTGCTCAGGCTCACGCCCTCACCTCTCTGAATCCTCCGCCTCTCCTGCTGGCCCAGGCACGGCTCCTAATAGCTCTGCTGCCAAAGGGAATCTCCCAAAATGTAAATCTGGCGCTGCGCTCTCCCATACCAGACAGCACTGCTTCTCATTTCTGAGTGGAATTAGAGTCAGTGCTCTCCTTTGGATTTACAGAAGAATGGCTCACACTGGGGTGCTCACGACTTCTCCAGTCTTGTTCTTATCCAATATCTGACACTTCGGTGCCCAAATATTGCCAAGTTTGGGGGAAGTCCTGGGGTGCAAGTCACACCTGAGGTGCCTCCCTGCCCCTGCTCAGTGCCCCCAACGCATCACTATGCATCACTCTTTCTCCTCTTTGAGCCACATCCTCCACGCTTCTGGAGTGCAGCTCCACATGGTTCCTGAAGCAAGGGGACAGGCCACGGTCCCACCTGCAACGGTTCTCTGATCTCTCTCTCTCTCTCTCTCTCTCTCTCTCTCTCCCTCTCTCTCTCATATTTTGTTTTAATTTCTTTGTTTTTTTAAGGCTGGGTCTCATTATCTAGTTTGGATTGGTCTTGAGCTCAATATGTAGCCCAGGTTGGCCTCAAACTCACAGCCTTTCTCCTGCCTTAGTCTCCCATGTACTGGGATTATAGGCATGTGCCACCATGCCCTGGTGTCCTTCACTCTTAAAGTCAAGTCTGAATTCCCCCCAAACGGGTGACAGTGTGTTGGAGTGTTCTGTGGACTTCCCAGGGAGACACAAAAGAATCATCTGCCTTGAACTGGGAGGACACTAAAAACCAAAGAGTGACAGAGGCAGATCCAGCTCAGCAAGGAAATGAATTTCCAGCGCTCACTGATTGCTGTAGGCCAGCGGGCAGCTTACAGGCCGCTGCACTGCCAAAGCCAGCATCTTCTGCTTACCTGTTTGCACCGGGATCTAAGTTACACAGGAAAAAGAAAAGGCAAGAACCAGACTTCAGGGGAAGAATTAAGTGCTGAGGCCCACTCTGTTCCTCCACTCTGTTACTGGGAATTCTCCCACTCTCATCACACCCAGTCCTTTGGCTGCAGCCTGCTCACATCTCAGGGCAGTGACACGGAGGCCAACTGCAAGAAATGTTACTTGGCTGGGGGGTCAGAGGACCCTTCTCCTACCTGGAATGATTTTCTAATTTATTTGGAACAAGGGAATCCAGTTTTACCACTAGTAGGGCTATCCTTTTTCCTTAGTTCACCTAAAAATCTCTGTTGAAACATCCTGTCTACCAAAACAAACTGAACCTACTCAGCCATGATCCCTTCCTTTGTATTTAGTAAAGATATGAAAACTGCTGAAAAGCCAAGATAATATTGCAGTTAAATATTTAAATGCAAAAAGGGAGCTCATTATTCCCAAAGCCAGCTAGACCTAAAAGCCAAAGATAAAACAAGACAAAATTTGAACTTCAGGTTAGACTGTGAACCTTATTGTGTATGATTTTATTTAGAAGCTTTGAAATACTGAGTAAGTTCTTCAGCTCCCATCTACTTCTAGGATGTGAAGACCCACAAGATAGGGAATAATAATACGGAGGTGTGCATGCATGGTGTGCAGGTGCGGGCAGACACACATCCCTTATCCCTAATTTCGCCCATGGCTAACAATGCTCTTCTCCCTCCTGTATCACCACCATGTATGTGTGGGAAAATAAAAGGAAGGAAGAAGGGAAAGAGAAGAACTGGGTGGTTCCTGAAGTCCCCAGGGAGGTACAAGGGAGAACAAGAGCATCCGAAACTCTTCCTTCATCCCCTTAGACTCCAGTTAAAACACCAAGACAGGGGCTGGCAAGATAGCTCAGCAGACTAAAGAACCTACTTAGGAAAGCACAGGAACCGGGATTCAATTCCCAGCACCGCACACTGTGCTGGGGCACTGAGCTGGCCATCCAGACCAACACTGAGAAGGCTGAAAGCAGGAAGACTACTACGAATCTGAGCTAGGTAGTGAGACCCTATAACAACCAAATACATGAGAGAGAGAGAGAGAGAGAGAGAGAGAGAGAGAGAGAGAGAGAAACCCAGGTAGAAGGAAGAGTCTGATGCCTGTCTGCTCTAAATTCATAAACCCACAGCCTTTGGATCTGCTCTCCCACAGGGCTACATCAAGTATTCCGCTCTTTTCTATGGCTACTACAACAACCAGAGGACCATTGGGTGGCTGAGGTACAGGCTACCCATGGCTTACTTCATGGTGGGGGTCAGCGTGTTCGGCTACAGCCTGATGATTGTCATTAGATCGTAAGTATGACATCTTGATTTGTTCACACAGCAACTCACTTCTCTAGTTCCTCTATGCCTAGTTATTCTTGTGGAGCAGTTTAAAAAGAAGGAAATAAATACACAAAGCAAATATGAGATATAATATGTGTTAGACATAAACAGCGTCATGTGTAAAGTTCTGGAAAACAAGATAAAAATTCCTTTAGGTGAGGCTGAGAATGGCCAATCTCATATGCTGAGTCTGACATGCAAAATTTTAGACAAAGAAAAACATGCACAAAATAAATGTCCTGGCATGTTCCTCAAACTGTAGGAAGGTCAGAGTGGCTTGAGGAGAACACAGTGCCTAATGAGGTAAGGACTGAGGCTGTTTTTCTCTAGTGCTCAGCTCCCTCAGGAAAACTACTCCGTATGTAACCCTAGCTTGCATATTAGAACCAAGCACGGGACATAAAAAGATACAAGCAATAAACCTTGGTGGCTGTGATTAACCTGGTAGCTCTCTGACCCCAGGCTACTTTGCTCTGAAATGGTCTGTTGTTTGCTTGTTCATTTGTTTGCTTGTTTTGGTACTGGGGATTGAACTCGGGATCTTGTACTTTCCAGGCAGGTGCTTAAGTCACTGACTGAGCTATCTCCCCAGCCCCAAAATGGCCTTTTAAAGCAACTGTGCCAGTTAATTCATATTCCTTGAAGATAAAATTTGGGCCAGCCCATGAACTGACTTCTCAGGAGTCACAGAATGCCATCAGCGTGGCACTGGTTGCAGGGAGGGGGCAGCACTCTCCTGCACAGCCCAGCCCTAGAGCCCACTTACCCTCTGTAGGGCCACCAGGGCTCATGAGCAGTGGGGCCTCCAGAACTGCAGTAGAACATAATGGGCCCAAAGAGAGCCCTGAGGAGGAGCGGGGAAGCCTGCTAAGCTTTCCCAGTAGAAAGTGTGGCTGCTCCCAAGAGCCTGCCCAGTGCTCTGGGGGACTGCTAGGTGCTATGTGGCCACCCACTTCTATCAAGCAAAAGGGAAAAAACAAGGATGCAAACTTGGTTTTGTTCCTAGCCCTCATGCTATTGTTTTCCTGATTTTTATCAGAGGGATAAATAGGGGCATGCAATGTTTCTGTGATGACCCAGAAAAGCTAAATTTTGTGGAACACCGAACTCAAATGCATAAAATAGAATTAGGGTGGAACACAAACACCCCACAGCCCCTGCTGAGAATTCCCACAGGGCTGAACGCCAAGGAGCACAGAGAGGCTGGGTGAAGTGGCAGGACCAGGAAGCCCCAAGGTACTTTCAGCCAGGCTTGCTTATAAACAGTACCGGATTACAGAGCCAATATCCAAAGGGATTACTGGGTTTTATATCAGACAAAAGTATAAGCTACATCCAAGATATGAGAAGACTTAGCAGGGCCTATCTCTCTTTAAGAAGAGCCCCCAAAATTTTTCAAGCTGCATTGGCAGATGAGTGAAGCCACAGGAAATCAAATGCGAGGCCTGTATCCTGCAACCCTTTATAATCCACCTGACAGCAGGTGTGCTTGCAGGACTCTGAACTGGGGCGGGGGGGGGGGGTTCTGGCTACTGTCACAGCTGTCCTGGCCACAGTCCCTGCCTGGCCTGTTTCCCATTGGATGTCTGCTTCCTGCCTTTTTGCTCCCTGTGCTTGAGGCTGGTGCTGGCCAGGGTTCCCTTGGGTGACCCAGCAGGCATAACAACAGCCATGTGTGCCCTCCAGGATGGCCAGCAACACCCAGGGGAGCACAGGCGAGGGTGAGAGCGAGAACTTCACATTCAGCTTCAAGATGTTCACCAGCTGGGACTACCTGATTGGGAATTCAGAAACAGCCGACAACAAATATGCCTCCATCACCACCAGTTTCAAGGTAGTCTGGGCAGGGCAGGTGTCACTTCCTGAGAAATCTCCGGGTTCCTCTGGTCACAGGAGATTTCTCCTGCTTCCCGGATGTGTGGAGAGAGCTTTACTAGAAGCGCAAGCCCAGCTCTCAAGTCTTCTAGAAAGGCAGCTCCCGGCGCACTTTCTGTTCTTCCTGGCACGGCGTCTTGAAGGCTGGGCTCTGGTCCTGCCTGTTTCCCCATGAAATTGTTTTCTGTTAGAAGAAAGGAAAGGAGAAATTTAGGGCCACATCGTCAACCTTTTCTGCATGCTACAATCACCTAAGGAGCTTTTTAAATCTCCTGTCCCTACTCCTGAGATTCTCATGGAATTGGCCTGGCATGGGGTCCTGGCATTTTTTTTAAAGCTTCTTAAGTGATCTAAGAGGAATTGAAACCCTTGGATTAAGGATGTGGGAATTGAAGAACCAACACTGCCTCTTATAATCCTTGCATAATTGTCCCAGTTCTTTGTTCACAAAAGAGATTGGAGGGGGGCTAAAGACAGAAAACTGACACTGAGCTTTTCCCCGTAACTTCAAAAACCACTCCAAGGTCTCGCCAGCTCAATTTTCTCTTGTCTGATCTATAAGGCCTTTCTCCCCAAGACCTAACAGAGGCCACATTTACACCCCAACAGTGACCCTGTGAGAATTACGGGAGCTAATGTAGCTTCACTGCCTGCTGAGTTAGTTAGGCCTGAGCCCAGCACAGTATAGTAACTAATGACTGGTTGGAAAGTGTCAGGAGTACCTGGGTGCCTGCAAGACCTCGTCTTCCACCCAGCTTTGTCACGTACTGTTTGTGTCTCCATAGAGAGGTACCCATGGTAATAAGCAAAAATCAACTGTATGTTGTGTACCAGCAGAAAACAATTAGGAAATAATTTTTAAATTATACTTACAATTGTATCAAAAGTATTAAATTCATAGGAATAAATTTAGCACCTCCTCCAAAATGTATGTGGCCACTACACCAAAAAAAGTTGCAATGGAGCTAAAAGGAATTCAGAAACTAAATAAATGAAGAGATATACCATGCTCATGGATTAGAACAGGGGTTGACAGGCCACGGCCTTGGCCAAACCCAGCCTGCTGCACGCATTTGTAAGTAAAACTGTATTGTGACAAAGCCAAATCCATTTATGTATACATTGTCCTTGGTTGTTTTCATGTTAATAATAGCATAGTTAAGTAGTTATGAAGGAGACCATATGGTTTACAAGCCAAAATATTTACTATATGGATTTTTTTAAGAGAATAAAAAATCATAAAAAAATCAGGAATCATACAGAATTTCACTAAACAATATAATAGGAATTCAACAGTGGCTGTCATAATGTTGTCTTCAAATTAGTGGCTTAGATTACCAGATATATGGGTACAAAATTGGTAAAATAAAATTAAAAAAGTAAAAGTTATATGAAACTAGAAAGAAGAGCCCTGCCCCCAGGGCACGCTGAGCTAGCAATTGAGACTGGGCGTGGTGACATGCACCTGTAATCCCAGTGCTTAGGAGGCTGAAAAATAGGAGGATCACTATGAGTCCAATCTGTGTAGTGAGACCCTGTAGGCCCTGTACTAAAAACATAAAAAGAAAAAAGAAAGGAAAAGAAAAAACCATAAGCATTAACTGTCCTTTCAATAGACCAACAGAAACCAGTGGTACAGTTGTCCAAGCTAACCTGTACATACACATAAATATGCCTTTTTTCTCTCTTTCTTTAGTTCCTTATTTATTTCTTTCACATTTTTCCTCATCCCAGTTGTTCCTTCCTTTTGAAGAGAATCTTTCCCTTTCACAGTATTTGTTATAGCTTTAGATTTTATTTGTTTGCTTTTTCAGGCTTTTATAGTAGGGAGACAATATGATGTTTGTACATGCAGCTCTGATTTATTTCACTTATGAGTATGGCTTCTAGTTGCATCCATTTACCTATAAAAGCATCAAGTTTATCTTTTTTACAGCTGAGTAAAACTCCATTATATAAAAAATCACATCCTTTTTATATATTCTTCAGTTGATAGGCATCTGGGTTGTTTCCAGGATTTAGCTATAACAAATTGCGCTGCTATAAACATGGGTGCACATACATCGCTGTGATATGACGGTTTCAGATCTTTTGGGAAAATACCCAGGAGGAGAATAGCTGGGTTAAGTGGGGCCTCCAATCCTAGTTTTTTGAGAAATATCCACACTGATTTCCATAGTGGTTGTACCAGCCTGCACTCCCACCAACAGTAGAGAAGGGTCCCTTTTTCCCCACAGCCCCTCCAGCATTAGCTGTTAGTTGATTTCTTTTTGGTAGCCATTCCTTCTGAGGTGAGATGGAATCTCCGTGTTGTTTTAACTTGCATTTCTCGAATCACCAGGGCTGTTCAACATCTTTTCATGTATTTATTGGCCATTTATATTTCCTCCTCTGAGAAGTGTGTATTCATCTCAGATGTCCATTTTTGGATTGGGTGTTTGGTTTTTGTGGGCCTGATTTTTTAAAAAATTCCTTATATATTCTATATAGAAGTCCTTGTCTGAGTGACTGTTGGTTAAGGTTTTTTCCCAATTTCTGGGTTTTCTTTTCATTCTGTTGATTTATTTTAATGTGCAAAACTTTTCAAACAGGTGGAATCTCAGTTGTTGATTTTGCATGCAGTTTGGTTTTCGTTCATAAATTTTCTGCCTTCTCCTATGTCCTCAAGATTTATACTGGGGCCGGGGAAATGGCTCAGTGGAATAAGCACTTCCCTGGCAAGCACAAGGACCTGAGTTCAAACCTTGGTTCTGCAAAAAAAAAAAAAAAAAAAAAAAAAAAAAAACACAACCTTATACCTACTTTCTCCTCCAACTATCTGGATTTTTTTTTTTTCTTTCTTTTCCAGAACCAGGGATTGCACTCAGGTCCTTGCGCTTGCCAGGGAAGTGCTTATTCTACTGAGCCATCTCCCCAGTCCCCTGGATTTTTATAGTTCAACATTTTTTAGGGATTTTTGTTTTGCTTTGAGACAGAATATCACCGTGTAGTTTGAGCTGACCTTGAAAATCCTACATGTCCCTGACTGGCCTTGAATTCATAGCAGGAATCCTTCTGCCTCAACCTCCAAAGTGCTGGGATTACAGGTGTGCACCACCACACCCAGCTCCAAGGGCTTTTTCTTTGGAGTGGGTACCAGAAATTGAACTCAGAACCTTGTGCTTGCCCAGCAGGCCCTGCACTGTTGAGTTACATCCCCTGCCCCTGGATTGGTACAGGAACATTTCAGTGAACACTGGGTTAGAGGACTCAGCACTAAGATTCCACTTGTGTCTCCTTATTAGCTTCCTGCAGGTCTCCACAGTTACTGAAATCTCCCTGGGCCTTAGTACCTGTAATGTGGGTAATAGCAGGAACTACTATTTTGGTTTGCTGTTAGGATTAAGGGGGATAATGTATGGGAAGTATTTAGTAACATGTTTGGCACATAGTAAGTATTCAATGAATTTTATTCTCGTTATGTACCAAAAATAACAACTATAATATATAGATAGATAGATACATATATCTATATTTATATCTATATCTGTATCTATATCTATATCTATATAAGACAGGGTCTCACTATGCAGTTCAGTTTGGCCTTGAGCTCACTTTGGAACCCAGACTGGTCTCGAACTGGCAACAGATCCTTGTGCCTCAGCCTCCTGAGTGCTGGGATGACAGACATGTGCTACCACACTTGGATAAAATATATTTTCTTAAAGGAAATAAAAGCTAATTCTCTATAGTACACAAATATTATATCACCTACTCTTTACTATTTATTTTTTAAATAAATTTATTGGGAAACAAATACCAATGAGAAAGTTTCAAAACCGATTAGCAGGGCAGTTTCAATAATTAATACATTGCCTATTGTCTTCTTGGTGGTTATTCATAGTACAAGATGCAGACATGATATCCTGTCCACAAACACTATTATAACAAATCCTTCTATTTATTGAATTAGGAGAAAGTAGCTGTATACCTATCCTATTTTGAATATACAGATACAAAATGGTCCTTCATTTGTATCCCCTTTTTTTGTTTAGTTTTGTCAGAGAAGGGTATTCCATTTAAATATTGTAGGTATGTGAATTCAGCAAAGTATTCCAATAGAGTCCAGTAGTCCGTAATAGTTTTACTGTTTAATTTTGGAAATACAGAAATTGGCAATTTCTGAAATCTAGTAAGCATGTGTGCTGTTAGTTCCAGGCCTGACATTGCATCTCCTTTTTTACATATAAAGGAATCAATAGTGGACGAACAAGAGAGTAACAAAGAAGAAAACGTCCACCTGACGAGATTTCTCCGTGTCCTGGCCAACTTTCTCATCATCTGCTGCTTGTGTGGGAGTGGGTACCTCATTTACTTCGTGGTGAAGCGATCCCAGGAGTTTTCCAAAATGCAGAATGTCAGCTGGTATGAAAGGAATGAGGTGAGAAGGGCTTCTCCGATGGGGCGAGTGCTGAGGGCAGCCGCTGGGCCACTCAACACAGCTGCTGACTGTCTAGGTCACTCGACTTTTTTGCTTGGTTTTTGTTTGTTTGTTTCCCGTGGGACTGGGCACTATGACCAGGGTCTTCACACTGAGCTGCAGCCCCAGCCCTTTTTATTTTTATTTTGAGATGATGTCTCACTAAGTTGCTTAAGTGAGATTCGAACTTATGAGTCTCCCGCCTCAGCCTCCCAGAACGCTGGGATTTTGGGTGTGCAACCATTAGGTTCAGCTAGGACTTGTTTTTGTTGTTGTTTAATTTTATTTATTTTTTTATGAATGTAGAACAGGGTCTATAGGGTGTACAGGGTCTCACTATGCAGATAAGATTCCTAGTGATTCTTCTGTTTTCAGCCTCCCAAGTGCTGGGATTACAGGCACGTGCCACCACACCGTCTCATTCACCATCTCAGTGTGCCACGGGGGTGGGGCCAGCATGGCAGGCCAGGGATTGAACCCCAGCCCCTGAGCTCTGCAGAAGGAGGCACTTTAGTCCACTGAGCTATCTGGCTGGCCCTTTATTTTAATTTTTTTTTTTTGTTTGTTTTTCTGTGATTTTTTTGTTTGTTTGTTTGTTTGTTTTTGGCAGAACTGGGGATTGAACTCAGGCCTTTATGCTTGCCAGGCAAGCACTTATTTTACTGAGCCATCTCCCCAGTCCTAATTTTATTTTAAACAGGGAAAAAAGTAAAACAACATTTCAAAACAAGGTAATAGGAGAATAATAATGGTTAATACATTTATTTATTTATTTATTTATTTATTTATTTATTTATTTATTGTCTAGTCATTTTTTTTTATTTGCTGAGTTCCTCTAAATCTTAAGAAATTCCATTAGTGGGCTGGCCAGACACCTTAGCAGAGTAAAGCACCTGCATAGGCAGACTCAGGAACTTGGGTTTGATCCCCAGCGTGCTGTGCCGGCCCCACCCCTGGAGCTAGCTGAGTCGGCAAGTGAGACTGGGTGTGGTGGTACTCCTGTAATCCCAGTGCTTGGGAGGCTGAAAATAGGAGTTGTCTTTAAATTAGTCACTCAGAGTAAAAGAGAAATGCATTTATTTATTTTTTGGGGGAAATGCATTTAGTTGTCCAAACAATATTAGCACAAACTTTCTTTTCAATGAACTCAGAGAAATTAGCAGTATAACAATCTTAACTATCTTGCACACACACACACACACACACACACACACACACACACATATATAAAATTTTGCTTTTCCCTTCCTTCTTTTCTCCTTCCTCCAACCCCATTTCTCTTTCCTTTTGAACAGTTTCTTCCCATTTTACAATATCTATTGTATATTTTGGATTTTATTTACTCTTTCAGCCTCCCACACTGGAGACAACACTATGTTTATACATGTGAATCTGTTTTATTCCACTTATGAGTATGGTCTTATGTTGCATCCATTTTCCTATAAAAGTCTCAAGCTTACTCTTCTTTATAGCTGAGTAATACTCCATTGTACAAAAAGATCACATCTTTTTTCTTCATTCCTCAGTG